AAAAAAAAAATAAAGTGGCTATCTTCCCTTCAGTGTAAGTTTTTGGTTTTCTTGTTAAACATAAAGTAGCTGAATGTGCCTGGAGTTGTCTTAGCATCCTCTGTTCTGTTCCACTGATCCACATGTCTAGTTGTTTTTGTTTTGTTTTGTATCATGACTTTTCCCCCCAAAACTGGGCTGTTTTTATCACTGTAGTATAACTTGAAGTTCAGGATTGTTATGCTTCCTGGCTTGTTCTTATTGTCCAGGATTGTTTGCTTTTGTTATTCTAGGTCTTTTCTGGTTTCATGTGAATTTAGATTGCTTCCTATAGTTCTGCGAGGAATGGTATTGGTGTTTTGATTAGGATTGTCTTAAACTGTAGATCAATAGAATGGCTATTTTGATTATATTCATTTTGCCTATTCAAGAATAGGGGATAACCTTTTTTTTTTTTTTTTTTAGAACCAGAGATTGAACTCAGGCCCCTGTGCTTGCCAGGGAAGCACTTATTCTACTGAGCCATCTCCCTGGCCCCTCTTTCCATTTTCTGATGTCTTCTTTCATCTCCTTTTTCAGAGTACTGTAGTTTTGATTGTAGAGTTTGTTCATTTCTTTGATTAGGTTATTCCCAAGTATTTAATTTTTCTTGATGCTTTTGTAAAAGATATGTTTCCCTAAATTTTTCTTGGTAAGTTTATTATTGATGTACAGGAATGCTATGATTTTTGTGTATTGACTTGTTCTCCTTTTTCACTACTGAATCAGTTATTTCAAGAGTATTTTGGTAGAAGTTTGTTTGTTTGTGACAAGATCTCTTGTTATGTAGTTCAGGCTGGCCTTGAGCTCCCTATGTAGCCCAGACTGGCCTCAAACCTAAAGTGATTCTCTTGCCTTAATCTCCTGAGTACTGGGAATCTTTTATATGAAGGATCATGTCATCTGCAGATAATGATAATTTGACTTCTTCCTTTCATATATATATATGAAATAAAATCCCTTTTATTTCTTGATCTTGCCTGATTGCTTGGCTAATGTTTCAAAAACTAATGAATAGGGCTGGTGAGATGGCTCAGTGGTCTAAGGCACCTACTTAGAACACACTAAGCTAAACAAAGCACAGGGACCACAGTTCAATCCCCCAGCACCACATGCCAGCCAGCCCTGCCCCCTGGTGGGCTGAGCTGGCCACACACACAAAA